TCTCACTACATTTATCGGCGGTCTCACCAGTCTTTTCAAGGGCCTTACTAAATTTATCAGCGGCTTCTAGACAGTTCTTGAGAGACCTTAAAAGTGTGGTTTTGAACTCTATATCCAACAGTTTGCTTTCCTCCAATTCTGTCGTTTGTGTCCTGTTTCTTTGTCTCGGCATTTTTTATGCTTCGCTGTGTCGATAGAGTGGCTTTCTGTGCTAAGTGTCCCAATTACCTGAGGTAGACACTCTTGGTGCACCCCCTTGTGGGCTTTTTGCATAGTCTTGTTGTAGTTAAGCCTTGATTTTTGTAGTTAACACTAGGAGGATTTGACCTCCAGGCCAATTAGCTGTGAGAATCAGCTGTGTCTACGGTGGGAGAACTTCTGTGCTAAAGACACCCTTCTGGGGCAAGACTTGCTTCAGTGGGGCTTTGATGCTCACTGAGTCTGCCCCCTGAGTGTGTCCCTTATAGACTTGAGGAGTTGTAATTGGATAGTCCCACTCTGACCACTGGGTACACTGGCTCTTGGATCTAAGGAGGTGCTAATCTAGCCCCTGCCTACGGCTACCCAGCAGAAGCCAGCTGTAAAGCAATGCAAGTTGCCCTGGGGCCTTGGGGCAGCTGCAGTTTGTTAAGTAATTTTCAGATTACAAAGGGCCGGGCCTTTCATATGCAAAAGCCTCCGTGCACAGCTTGGGCGGGGCGGGTCCTAGGGGATCAACAGGGTGGGCGGAGAGAGCAGTATGGCTGCTCTCAGTCCTGCCCTCAGAGGTCCCGGCAATCGCTGCGAGCGCCTCCGAGAGAAAGCTGCCCTCGAGTTCCGACCGATGCCAGACAGTCCCGTCTCTCCCACAAGAGTCTGGGTCCCCAGAGACTCGCCCGGAACCGGAGCTCAGAGCCTGAGACTCCCTCCCGATTGAAAAAGACAATCGCGTCCTCAGCCACCAGCCCTCTCCGCATGCACCTCCGCACCTTTGTATTTTACTTCCGCACCGCACCTCCTCTGAGTCTGGGTATGCTTTTCTCTTTCCTTCTAGTTGTAGAAATTCCACTCAGCCAGCCTTCCTGTGGTTCTGGATGATGTCCGTTATGTCTTTTAGTTGTATTTTTGAAGTGGTTGTGCGAGGCAGCAATCTCCGGTGTTTACCTATGCCGCCATCTTGGTATTTTCCTTAGTTTCTTTACTTGGTATAGTTTTCATTCTGATGTTGCTGTAAATAGTTTTTGTTCCTGTGACCAGTTTTGTGTATATATACCCATGTTTGCTTTCACTCTAGTTATATAAAAGATTCTCCCTCTTGTGTTTTCTATTGCGTCTATTGCTTATTATTATATACTAGAGGCCAGGTGCATGAAGGCTGATGGGGGTTGGAGCGTCTGCCCCCGGTGGTCAGTGCACATCATAGCAACTAGTGTAATGGTCGAACGAATGGTCGAATGAACGATTGGACACTTAGCATATTACATATAGGATTATTTTGATGTGAGATAATATAACCATGGAATTTAGACTTAGATGTTTATTCTTCAGTTAGCTTTGGATATATAATTAGGAACATAACAGACATGGTATTTGTTCTAATGAGATTTACTTAGGGAGACATATAAAACATTTAATTACAAGTTGGGATAAGTGCTATGAAAGAAATAAAAATGATGCAATAGAAGAAAATAATAGGGCCTAATGTAGATTTGGCAATCAGGGATGGTCTTTAGCTGAAACCTGAAAAATAAGTGAGAGTTAGGTAAGACATGTGAATTGAAGAGAGCTTTTCTTTCTTTTTTTGTTAATCCTCAATGGAGGATATTTTTTTTCATTGATTTTTAGAGAGAGTGGAAGGGAGAGGAGAGACAGAGAGAAACATTGAGGTGAGAGAGACACATCAATTGTTTGCCTCCTGTAGGCACCCTGACCAGGGTAACCTGCAACCAAGGTATGTGCCCTTGACCGGAATCAAACCCTTCAGTCCATAGGCCAATGCTCTATCCACTGAGCCAAACTGGTTAGGGCTGGAGAGAGTGTTTCAGTCAGAAGTAAAAGCATGTAGAAATGCTCTTAAGTATAAAGGAGCTTTTTTAATTCAAGTGACGGAGTGAAAGCCTGTGTGATTGAGCATAACAAGTGACATGGAACAGGGAACGAAATGAGTTTGGGGTGATAAGGACCAAATCAGGGCCAAGGAAAGGAAATTTGATTTTATGCTAACAGTGAAGGAAAATCATTGTAAAATTTAAGTAGAGGAATGACATGATATGGTTCAAAATCACTAACTTCTGTATGGCACATAAATTTGGTGGTGGGTGGGGAGTGCTGGTAGTGAAGAAAGAGTAGAATTGAAGAAATAGGATTGGAGACTATTTGAGTGGTACAGGTATGAGAGGATATCTTTTAAAAATGGAATCAGCCCTAACCGGTTTGGCTCAGTGGATAGAGCGTCAGCCTGCGGACTGAAGGGTCCCAGGTTTGATTCTGGTCAGGGGCATGCACCTTGGTTGCGGGCACATCCCCAGTAGGGGATGTGCAGGAGGCTGCTGATTGATGTTTCTCTCTCATTGATGTTTCTAACTCTCTATCCTTCTCCCTTCCTCTCTGTAAAAAATCAATAAAATATATTTAAAAAAATAAAAATGGAATCCTATCACAATTATGTTAGCAGTTGGAGATGCCATTAATCTAAGGACTTTTTGTCTGGTCTCAGCTCTGAAAAATTTTCTTTTATATCTTCTCTACTAGTGTCATTGTTCTCTTACTCCCTGAAAGTGGATTTTGGGAGTTCTGGAACTATCCTTCATGTTTAAAATTTTTTTCTTATACTTTCTATCTGTTAGTTCTTTGTGGAATTTTGGGGGAAAAGGTTTTGGGTTTCCCCTGCTAATTCAATCTTTATGTTTATTTTGCTAGATTTGAAACCTTAGTTGTCAAATTTTAAATTCCCAAGAACTCTAAATAATTTACTTCATGGATATAATATGCTATTGGAACATACTAATGTTAACATACTTAGCAAAATATCTGCTTCTGTTTGTTCTATTAATGCTTTCTCCTTGGATTTTATTTAATTCTCTTAATTGAATTTGGTTCTTCTTTTTAATGGTTTTGCTTTTATTCATTAATTGTTGATTCTTAATTGTTTGCTCATCCAAGTATTTGAGAATTCATCTTCACCCACTTGTATGTTATAATCTGCTTCATCTGATTATGGGAATGAGATGGGAGATGCTATAAGGAAGGGTGGGCTTGGTAGCTTGTCTGTTTGGCATAGGCCCTATGCCATAGGGGAAGTTTTTCTTGCTTAAAGATCAAGAGCTATGGCACCGCCATGTCTCTTTGGCCCCAATTCCTAGAATCCTTGATTTAACCTGAGGCTGTGTGGTGGAAGATGTGGTCAGCTGGTGTAGTTGTTTAACATAGACTTCATTGAATGAGCATGGGTTTTACCCCCGACAAAGAATCCTTAACTTTTTGGGTTAATGGTAATGAGTCTGGTCTTATATATAGTCTTTCTAAAACAATTATGTGATTGGGGGTGAGAGTGTGGAGACATGCTAGTTTTTTTTAATATATATTTTTAAAATTGATTTCAGAGAGGAAGGGAGAGAGATAGGAACATCAATGATGAGAGAGAATCATTGATTGGTTGCCTCCTGCACGCCCCCTACAAGGGGGGATTGAGCCCACAACCCGGGCATATGCCCTTGGCCCGGAATTGAACCTGGGACCTTTTAGTCCACAGGCCAAGGCTCTATCCACTGAGCCAAACCGGCTAGGGCGAAACAAGTTAGTTTTAAAAAATTAATGGCTTTTACTTAAAATTAAACTTCATGGTTGAATAAGCTTTGCATGTGACAGGTTTTTCTTTTAGACTCTACATTGGCATTTCATATTTTGTTGATTTTTTCCCTTAAAGACTGTGGTCAATGATTACAAGTATTTTGTTTGTTTTGAATAATATATAGTTACATCTACAACAATTAATAACCCTCAACAGTGAGGAAAGACAAGTTTCAGATATAATAAAATTTAGGTGACATTTAGACATTGTTTGAGAACTTTGTAGGTAGTTAAAAAATGTAAGGAGGAAAAAAACCCAGGTGGTGTGAGCTGGAAAGATTTTATAATTTATTATCCTGATATTGAATTCATGGAGGTATATAAAGAAAAACATTGTAAAGTATTATTTAATGTGACAAGAAGGAAGGGTGTCAGAAAGAAAATAGGAGCAGGAGTTAGGAAACAAATCTGAATAATGCAAGGTCTGGAAAATCAAAGCGAGAAAAGTAGAGTGGTTAATAGTATCAAATGCCAGAAAGCTCTATAATAATGACAAAGAATTACACCACAAAATGGTTATTGGTAATCTTTGAGATATTAGTTCTGCATGGGGTTAAAAAAGAAGTTTGTAGGAAACCAAAAAGGAATTTGTCTGCCAACCCCCCCCCCCCCCCCCCCCCCCCAGGGATTGACTATAGTATGAAGAGGCAGAAAAGTCAACCAGATGCTTTTGTTCTTATTCAAATAAATATTTAGCTGTGATAAGGGAAAGTAAAGATTCCTCTACAGAGAGTCAATTTATATTGTTAGTAAAGAAACTAAAGTCTCAGAGGAGGTTGGAATGTTGAGATACAGAGTATAATGGTTAGAGTTAGCTGGAATTAAGTGGGTCACTTCTTTTAAGTTTGGAGTGAAGATTAAGAGGCCAGATATTTAGAGAGGGATGATGAGTTGAAAGTAAAAGCACACATGCTGAATGACCACATTCCAAATACAGATAGATTGCTTATTTTGTTTAATCAACTCTGGGCTCATTTGGTTGTGGAATTAACTTTATAGCAGTGGTTCTCAACCATGGCTGCACATTAGAATCACCTGGGAATCTTTTTAAAATCCTGATTTCTGGGCCTCATCCTCTGGAAATTCTGTTTCTTTGTTACTAATGTTGTGGCCCCACCCCAAAACAAAGAAACAGAATTTCCGGAGGATGAGGCCCAGAAATCAGGATTTTAAAAAGATTCCCAGGTGATTCTAATGTGCAGCCAAGGTTGAGAACCACTGCTTTATAGAAACATCCTATGTAATAAAAGGCTAATATGCAAATTTTCCCTTTGACCGGGAGTTGGACTGGAGTTCGACCAGGGGGTCGGGCCAGCCTGCCAACTGCCCACAACCCCTCCCACCAGCCGGCCCCGCCCCTATCAGCCCCCCCACCCTAATTGGGGGCGGGGCTGCTGGCCAACCGCCCCCGGCTCCTTGCCCCTGGCCAGCCCGGCCCAATCGCCCCAATTGGAGTGGGCCGGCTTGGACCCCACACATGTACGAATTCATGCCCCGGGCCTCTAGTTATTAATATTTATCTGTGATTTTTGTATAGTTCCATTTGGACTTCTGGGCAGTGATTTTCAACTTTTTTCATCTCATGGCACACATAAACTAATTACTAAAATTCTGCAGCACACCCAACAATATTTGCCAATATGACGAAAAATAGGTATAATTTTGATTCATTCACAGTGGATGGCCATTGTTGTATTGGTTGATGTCATTTTTTATTTGACAATAAGAGGGAAAAGAGGTCAGTGCCCCCGATTAAATAGTCAGGTATTGCATGTTTAAAAACTTTTTGCAGCACACTGCTTGAAAATTGGTGATTTAGGGTACTCCAGTTACATTAATCCATTTCTTAGTCTTCCCCTTTCAAATGGTATTATTCTTGTTTCTCCTTTCCTAGTCTTTTAATCCAGCTTTTAACACATTTATATTCTTTTGCTTACTTTAGAAGAGATGACTAAACTTAACAATAACAAAGAAGTAGAACTTGAAGAATTGAAAAAAGTCTTAGTAAGTATTTAGTTTCTCTTAATATAGAGTAATTATTTTTCAAATCCACTGACTTAGACTCTCACACTATAGATGTTTTATGCTACTTTTTTTTCAGATAAAATATTAAAAAATTATATTTGATTTTTAGTAAAGCCACGTTCTTACCTATTCTAATATTTATACATCTTGATAGTTGTCTTCATGTCTTTAAAGGGTTTTAAACAATTTTTTAATTTATTGATTGACGAGAGAGAGAGAGAGAGAGAGAGAGAGAGAGAGAGAAAGAAAGAGAGACTTGTTGTTCCACTTATTTATATATTCCTTGGTTGATTTTTATGTGTGCCCTAGCCTGGAATGGAACCATGATCTCCTGGTCAATGAGTTGATGCTTAACCTCTGAGCCACATTGGACAGACTGTTGAACATTTTTGTTTTTGTGTTAACAAGAGCTATTTGCCTGTAGTTTTCTTTTCTTTGATTGTCTTTGTCTGCTTTTGGAATCAGGCTAATGCTGGCCTCATAAAATGAGTTGGGAAGCTTTTCTTTCATTTCTATTTTCTGAAGAGATTGTGTAGAATTAGTGTTATTTTTTTCTTTATACATTTGGTAGAATTCTCCAGTGAAATCATCTGGACATAGAAATTCGTTCATTGTTATAGAACTACTCTGGTTACTTGCTTTATCTTGGGTGGTTTTTGTAGTTTGTGGTTTTTGAGGAATTAATACATTTCACTGAAGTTGTCAGATTTCTGTGCATAGAGTTATTTATAATATTCCCTGTTATCCTTTTAGTAAATTTTTATGCTTTGTGAGCCATGTGGTCTCTGTTGAAGTGATTCAACTTTGCTGTTAATGGGGCAAAACAGGCATGGGTAATACATAAACAAATAGATTGGCTATATTACAGTAATGCCTTATTAAAAATAGGCAGTGGTGGATTTGGTCTGTGGGCTGTGTTTGCTGACCCTTGGTTGTCTAGAATGATGAATTCAATTCTTGGCACATTACTTAACACATTGCGTACCAGTAGTTTTATTGCTAGTTTTACCCATGGCCAGATAAGTTTCTAGAAAGAGTACAAAAAACATTTTACAAAGTATCATACTTTAAAAAGATATTAGCTTGTAAGAACATGTAATAAATAACTTCAAAATGCAATGGGCGTGCCTTTAACATTTATGTAAAACACTGATTAATATGAAAACACGAGAATGCTCGTGATCCGCCTGCAATGTGTTAAGATGGTATATTAAAGTGAGCCCATCCTGATGGAATGATGTAACTTAAAACTGTTTCATAGGAAGAATGAAAATATTCTTAAAGATTTTAGAATAGTTAAGAGAAAAGTTAGGGAGTAAATATTTAAATATTTACCAGTTATCATGTGAAAGAGGAATTGGACTTTTATGTGATTAAGGAAGGCAGAATAATGACTATTGCATCAAAGCTATAGTAAAGCACATTTTTGTGCAATAATAAGGATAAACAGGATTGATAGAATAGTGAATGACTAATAAATGCTAATAAAATGGGGTGATTTACACATAAATTAAGGTTTGACTTCAAATGGCCTGTATGATTTTTTTTTAAATAAGAAAATTCCAGGGCTCTGTCCATTAAATCCTGTCATCATACTTAGTTTTGGAATTTACTTAATAATGCCAAACGTTTCTTTTAAAAAAAATTTTAGCCAAAGAGAAACTCATTATGTCTTCCCAACTTTATTTAGGAAGTTTGATTATTTTGAATATGTGTGTGCTTTAATTGTCATGATTTGTTAATATTTTTAAATAGGCAGAAAACCAAAAGCTTTTAGATGAAAAGAAACAGTTTGAGAAGATTGTTGAAGAATTAAAAGGAACAGAACAAGAACTAACCGGTGTTCTTCAAACCAGAGAGGTTTGTTTTAAAGGATACATTTTTTTTTCACATATTTTGTTAGTAGAGTACAGATTACAGAATAGATTATAGTGTAGCCATTATCTTTGTGAAAGGTTTCTTCACAAGATTTCTTTTTAAAGTATGTGTTCCTGCTACATTAAATATGCTAATGACTGATTTAAAACACATCTAGAAAACCTCCAAGGTATATATAATGTGGGAGAGAAAGGTCAATATTTAAGGTACCAATAGTATGTACACAATGCCATGGTTGTAACAATTACATTTCTTGATACCTTCAGTATTTATTAATCAATACATTTAAAAGTTAGTCTTTATTAAGTTCTTAGTTTACAGTAGTTTTTATAGTGCTCATGTTATAATTTTAGAATGTCATTTATTTGAAAAAGTATGTTTTCAGTCCATAACAGCATTATAACTATCTTTTTATAATTATAACAGCTTAGTATTTAAGATGCTGATTTTATTAATTAATGTTTCTTCTTAATATTATAGCATTTTATTTAATATTATTTATTTATTTTTTAAAATATTTTTTATTGATATCCGAGAGGAAGGGAGAGGGAAAGAGAGATAGAAACATCAGTGATGAGAGGGAATCATTGATTGGCTGCCTCCTGCATGCCCCCCACTGGTGACTGAGCCAACAACCCTGGCATGTGCCCTTGACCGGAATCAAACCCTGACCTCCTGGCTCTTAGATCGACGCTCAACCACTGAGCCATGCCGGCTGGGCTATAGCATTTTAATTGAAATTGTTTGGTAGAGTAAAAGTGACAAAAAATTTTTTAAATGTGTAAATATAATTTTACTGATTGAGCTTCAGAATATCAAGATGAAATTACTTATATTACATTTGTCATTGCTCATTGTTTTAAATTATAATAGTTATGGCACTGAATCTACTTAAATTTAAAAAATTTGATATATTCTTACCAACAATTTTGCCAAATAAATGACTTACTTGCATAGAGTGACTAAGTTTTTTAAATGAGAAAATTGTAAAAACATTTGTTATGGTTATACACATTTACTTTTCAGAAAAAAGTACATGATTTGGAAATTCAATTAACTACCATTGCCGCAAGTGAACAACAGTATTCAAAACAGGTTAAAGAACTGAAAACTGAGCTTGAAAATGAGAAGTATGTTTTCTATCTATCTATGAAATAGCTTATGTATTCAATTACTAAGTTTTCTAGTATTTAATAAGTGAATTATGTTCAATATTTATTTGAATAAGCTTAAAGTTGTATTTTATTCCTAAAGATAAAAATAATTTATTAACTTTATTGCTAAGGGAAGTACATATCATTTATATAAAGAGTTCATCACGAAGTTAAGAACTGCTTAAGATCAATATATTCCTTTTCTTAGAGATAGTTGGTTTCTTAGGAAAAAACCATTAATTGCAGTTCTAACTAGATATTTTGATTGATTTGCTAAATTATTTCATAGGTTTGAATTGATGAAATGCCAGTGACAAAATACAAATTCATTTCTTACATTATCCAATGATTTACCTACTCAGTAAGTTTAATTTTGAGAAAAAGTGAGAGGAAAAAATTATTGTGTTATTATTTATAGAGAAGTAAACTCAAGTAGCCAATCTAGTGGTGAGCATGATTTTTTTCTTTTTGGTTGCTTCTCAGCTCTATATAAAAATGAGAAGTAAACAGTTTATTCAGGATCTTGTTTCTTTCAGCTCTCATTCCCTCCTTCTGATATAATTTCAACAGTACTTTTTTAGGGGTTCTGGATGAAGTTTATTAACCAAATCCCTTTTAATAAATAGGCTGATTACTTATTTATGCTTTGGTATAAATTTGTTATCTTCAGTTTATTTGCTTTTTCAACCTTTCACTTTTTAATGAAAACTTTTATCTATTTTTTGATGAATTTCCATTAAAGTAGTAGGAGATAATAGGTGCTCCTGAAATCATTCCTAGAGCCACACATTCCCCTTCATTTAAAACTGATCCTTGCTGCAACCAATAACAGCAGTAATCTCTCTTCCAGTGTAGAGCATATGAGGCCTAGTATAAGAGCAGTTTAAATATCTGCACAAAGGTTAAACCTAGTTTCTTTATTTTAATTTAAAATAGGTCATGCCCCATATATTACTTTAATCAAATCATCAGGAGCTTGAAACAGTTTCTAAGAGACAGTCTGTTAGAAAGAAAAATTATATGAAAAATATATACCCTGTAAAATTTGTGGAAAAGTAATGGGGGGTAATGTTGTGGGGAGTATGCAAAGAAATATATGACATCATGAAAAACTTATAGAAAAATTTCAAACATGTACAAAGTAGAGATGTAATAAACCAGCATGTACCTATCACCCAGCTTCAGAAGTTAACTAGTGGCCAACCTTACTTAATTTATAACCCTAGGTTATAATCCCTGCTTTCCTCTAAGGTTATTATGAAGTAAATTTCACATCATATAATTTCATACTTAAATATGTTGATATGACATATTTTTTAAAAATAGGCTTAAGAATACTGAACTAACTGCAAGCTGCAACAAGCTTTCATTGGAGAACAAAGAACTAGCACAAGAAACAAGTAAAATGGCCTTAGAACTTAATAAACAGCAAGAAGATATTAATGTGAGTTGAAAAAGAAAGAACCAATGACTTAATTTTCTTACCTGTAAAATTAGGGAGTTAAAATAATGACATCTAAAGATTCTTTCAGCTTTAAAAGTCTAATTATCTTAGAGCTGATACTTTGTTTTAGAAGAAAAGTATGCATACTGATCTTACATGGTGATAATGAGCAACAGAATATAGAGGTTACCCAATGATAAAGTTAATTTTAAGCATCAAGATTTGTATAAAGTATTCAACAAGTATTTATTAAGTAAATCATATGAGACACTGTGGAGGATATGGTGACGAATTAAAGGTCATCCTCTTTAGGAGCTTATAACTCAATAGAAAAAAACTGCTCAAATAGCTTAAATAAAATAGTATATGTCTTGTTTTGGGGACAAAGTGTTATCCGCATCCACAGGATCACTTCTGCTTTGGTGGAAGAGAAGGCTTCAGAGAGAATGTAGCATTGATTTTAGCCTAAAAGATGAGTAATTATGAGTTCAGTAGGTAATAGTGAGTGGGAACACATTCCTAAAAGCCACAGCAGTATAAATAAAGGATATGTCTCAAATTATCATTGGGAAACAGTAAATAAGACTTGTTTTGTTAGCTGCTGAGTAGAGATTGTTAAAGAAATGAAGTCTGGAAAAATAGTGTGGAACTATGCAAATTAGGCCATTCTCTTTGTGTGTGTATGTATGTATATATATATATGGGATATTGCGACAACATGGATGGATCTAGAGCAGCAGTTCTCAACCTGTGGATCTCGACCCCTTTGGCGGTCAAACGACCCTTTCACAGGGGTCGCCTAAGACCATCCTGCATATCAGATATTTACATTATGATTCATAACAGTAGCAACATTACAGTTATGAAGTAGCAACGAAAATAATTTTATGGTTGGGTCACAACATGAGGAACTGTATTTAAAGGGCCAGAAGGTTGAGAACCACTGACATAATAGATGCTCAAGAAATATCGGGTGAAGGAAGGGAGAAGGAGAAGGTGGATGGAGGAACCCCACACACAAAGAGAGAGCAGATACTGTTCCCCTATCAACACAGCTCTTTTTTTCTCCTGCTAATATGGACTCTTTGGGGGTAAATTATGCCCTCCAAAAGTGGTGGCAGCGGGCCTGCTGCTCTTGTTTCTGCTCTGAAAGTGTGGTATTCGCTGTTTCACAGTGAGCAGGTGGCTTACTTTAAAATATATTTTATTGATTATTTACAGAGAGGAAGGGAGAGAGATAGAGTTAGAAACATAGATGAGAGAGAAACATCGATCAGCTGCCTCCTGCACATCTCCTACTGGGGATGTGCCCGCAACCCAGGTACATGCCCCTGACCGGAATCGAACCTGGGACCCTCCAGTCCGCAGGCCGATGCTCTATCCACTGAGCCAAACCGGTTTCGGCTAATATTTATTATTAACTAAGAAGATACACTAATCATATGTCAAAATTTAGAAGAGAAATAAAAAATATTATTTTAAGCATTAGCCATGTTTTCAGGCATTTTCACAATCATCTATTGTAATGCCTATATACCATTTAATCAAGTGGATATGACATTTTTTACTTTTAGTCCTTTATATTTTTGGATATTTATATTTTGCAGTTTTTCACTATCATAAATAATACTGTAGTAAACATCTTAGCACATAAAGATCTTTTTCTTATTTTGAATTTGATAGGATAAATTTCAAGTAAGTAGAATTATATTGAGGCAGAGGAATAATTATTTCAATGAAGAAATTGAGCAAAAAGGACCTATCTGTTGTAAACCAGAAAATTTAGAAGAGAAATACAAAGTATTTAATATTATTTTGTCAAAAGGACAAAGGAACACATGGGGGAAGAAAACTATCTTTCTTGCCTTTGTCTCTGCTATACAGTTTCTCTCTCCAGAGGTATCACTCTTACCTGTGTATGTTTCTAGAGATACTCTGTTACATATATAAGGGTATATGTGTATGCAGATTTCTCAGTCATGTAGTTTTTCATTAAAATCACTTGTATTTATGTATCTAATTTATTTTAATAAAATTATGACTATGTCTCAGGATAATGACTGATTTATGACTAAGAAAATAGTAAAGTGATATCTTGACTTAAATTAGTAACAAGCATTTCTTTCCAGGAGTTTTTTAAATAGAAAAATAAGATAATTAATTTCAAAATAAATGTGTAATTTAAATATGAGAGTGAATTGTGCCTATTTAGTATTAAGGCATGAAAAACTACCCAGCAAAATGAAAATATAAACCAATAAAGTTTAATAGTTAATCATTTTAGAAATTCAGAAAGGGAATAAAATGAAAATATAAGTTTTATCTCAATGTCACTCTTCTATTTCCTTTAAGGAATGAACTGGAATCTGTGAGAGAAGAACTAAAGCAGAAAGGAGATGAAGTTAAATGTAAATTGGACAAGAGTGAGGAAAATGTTTAAAATGAAAATATAAACCAATAAAGTTTAATAGTTAATCATTTTAGAAATTCAGAAAGGGAATAAAATGAAAATATAAGTTTTATCTCAATGTCACTCTTCTATTTCCTTTAAGGAATGAACTGGAATCTGTGAGAGAAGAACTAAAGCAGAAAGGAGATGAAGTTAAATGTAAATTGGACAAGAGTGAGGAAAGCGTATGTTATATTTTATAATAAATCATATCACAAAATTTCTAATCATAAAAGCAATACCACATATCTAAAAAAATGGTGACATATACTGTTGAATAAGTAACTAGTTAACTAGGGACTTTTATAGGCTGTTGAATTTTAAAATATAGGGCAGAGTTTGGTTATTTTGCATAGTTTATATCTAGAAGAAAGTAGTATAATTCTAAATTTCTTTTATAAATGCTCAATATTTAATGTTGATTTACATTTTTAGGCTAAATAAATGGCTTATGCTTTAGTAATATAGAATACTAGAGGCCCGGTGCATGAAATTTGTGCAAGGGGCTCGGTCCTTGCAGCCCCCAGCCCCCCACCCACTGATCATTCTGGAAGGTCGTTCTGGAAGGTCATTCTGCCATCTGGTCTAATTAGCATATTAGTTCTTTATTATATAGGATATATAGGATACTGATAAATTGAGTAATAAGTTCATTTTGTGCTTTGGTGGAAATGATTTAATAAGTTGAGATAGGATCAAGGTCTTTAGAAAAGACCCCGACCAGGGCCAGGCATCCAGCCTGCAACCAAGGTATGTGCCTTTGACTGGAATCCAGCCCAGGACCCTTCAGTCTGCCAGTCTGAGGGCTGATGCTCTATGAACTGAGCAAAACCAGCCAGGGCCTGATAAATATTTTTGTAGAAACAAAAGGTTGAGTTTTATAATTCCATTTCTAAAAGGTACTTGTAGAAGAAAATAGTAATTCTGTTAACATTTTAAATCTGATGTCAAATATTATTTTTTAGGTTCGAAGCCTTGAATGTGAAGTTTTAAAAAAAGATAAACAAATGAAGATATTAGAAAACAAGGTAGTATCAAATTGCAAACATGTTTGGAAGTAGAGACTTTGTAACAACATATGTATGACTAGATTCTTTAGGGCCAACCTTGACACTTTTGTTTTGTTTTGTTAATCCTCACCTGAGGATATATTTTTAGGGAGAGAGGAAGAGAGAGAAACATGGATGTGAGAGAAATACATTGGTTGGTTGCCTCCTGCGTGCACCCCAACCAGGAGGAGGGTCCAGGCTGGGAGATACATGTCCTTGACTGGAATCAAACCCAGTTCCCTTTGGTTCACAGGCTGATGCTCTCTATCCACTGAGCCAAACCGGCTAGGACCAGCCTTTACACTTTTAACAGCCTTTATATAAATCTCAATTCTCCTTTGAAGGCTTTGAGGAATAATGTAGAATTTTTATTGTAGGTTTCTTTGAAGAGGCTCTGGGTTCAGGATTTTTTTGCACAATCCTTTGAAAAGCAAAGTTTCATTAAATTCCTCTTTAGATGTCTCTTCTCTTTCGCAAAATTTCATACTCTGTGCAGCTGCATTTGTTGTGGATATCTTTAGAGTGGCAGGATTTTTTTTAAAAAAATCATTCTTAGACATCTTTCCTGTCTCTCAAGAGAACTGCAGAAAAATTTCTGCTCCATTTATGTGAAGTGTTCTTACTGGTTGGCTGCCCATCCCAATTCACTTTTTCTTTCTCTGTACCTCACTACACATGGGTCCTAAACCTGACTTTCTATAGAGAGAGTAGTCCTCTGGAAAGTATAGTTCACTTTCTGTAGTTCTGGCCTCTAATAACACCAATTTTTTTCCTACCTAGAATTCGGATGATTAAAATCCTTTATTACTCTGCATTAGCGTTATTTTACTTAAAAATGAACCGTGATAGTTTAATACCTTTTCAAGATTTCTGGGCATTCTACCAAAAGTATTTATTTTAATTAGTCCTACATTTTGAGATTATTTATATTTAAAAGGATTGAAAATTTAAGTTACTTTAATCTTCATTAGCTTATTCAGAAAGAAGGGAGAGTGAGATGGGGCAGTGCGTGTTGTAAGAAAAATATGTAATGGAGAATTTTGTGCTAATGTGGGAGATGAAAATTTTTTTCATTGGAATTTCTTTCTACTTCAGTGGAAATTAGAACAATTTACGTATATGTAATGTAGTAACCTTTAGAAATCTATGCTGCTTTTATGGTACTCCAAATATTTTGGGGGCTAATACCTCTTATTCCGATTCTGCATGTGTACCCAGGTGAAGTAGTCCCTCAAAGTGAGATATAAAAAAAGTGGTTCAGCTGATATTTTTTTAAAACAGGAATTAAAATGTAGTTAGGAGGAGACAGACTATTATTTCCCTCCCCTATAGATAATAAGTATAAGAGGTCTCAGAAATGAAAATGGAATTGTTTTTAAAGTAGTTAAATTCAAATGTTCTTTAAGTATATTAAGAATTGTTAAAAATTTCAGATTTGTATTGAGATAATTGTTAGTAAAATTTGTACCCATTTACATGATTTTAGACATTAATGGAATTATTTAACAATATGATTTTTAAAGTGACTTCTATATTAATTTATGTAATATTTTTATTAGTTTAAAATTACTTATGTTGACTAGAATATTGAATAAAATAATTATAATTTCTCATTTTTTTTTAGTGTAACAATTTAAGGAAACAAGTTGAAATTAAAAGCAAGAATATTGAAGAATTCCAACAGGAGGTATGTATTGATTCTCATTATCAAATTATTTTAAAAGATTTTTTTTCACTTCAGTTTTAGAGAATAATGCTTTTCTTTCCCGTAGTAATTTCAGTCTAGGTAAGGTGGTAGTGCAAGTTTGAATCATTTTGGTACTAAATGTAATTGTTTATTTTTAACTTTTAACAGAATAAGGCCTTAAAAAAAAGGGGTACAGCAGAGACGAAGCAACTGAATGTTTATGAGATAAAGGTATTTGGAATAATTTTTGTTTTTAAAATAGTAGTAAATAGATGAGAATATAAGAATTTTATTCTTTGTGATACTTATCTTTCTCTGACTGGCTTATTTTGCTTAGCATAATACTCTCCAGTACCACATGATCTCACTCATGTGGAATCTAATGACCAAAATAACCTGATGAATAAAATAGAATCAGAGACATAGAACAGCGGTTCTCAACCTGTGGGTCGCGACCCTTTAGGGGTCGAACAACCCTTCCACAGGGGTCGCCTAAGACCATCGGAAAACACATATATAATTACATATTGTTTTTGTGATTAATCACTATGCTTTAATTATATTCAATTTGTAACAATGAAAATACATCCTGCATATCAGATATTTACATTACGATTCATAACTAGCAAAATTACAGTTATGAAGTAGCAACGAAAATAATTTTATGGTTGGGGGTCAACACAACATGAGGAACTGTAGTAGAAGGGTCGCGGCATTAGGAAGGTTGAGAACCACTGACATAGAAGCATTGAACAGACTGACAAATTTCAGAGGGAAGGTGAGGGTGGGAGAGTGGGAGGGGAGTGATTAACCGGGGAGCTTATATGCATATATGCATAACCCATGGACACAGACAATAGAATGGTGAAAGCTTGGGAGGGGTGGGTATGGTGTGGAGGGGGTCAATGGGAAAAAAACCCACACAAAAATAAACAAAGGGACATCTGTAATACTTTCAACCATAAAGATAAATTTAAAAAAATTTATTCCCTTGTAGCAGTTTTCAAACATCATCTGAGATTGTGGGAATCGTTCCTTTTAATTATAAGAGTGCTCATCTGTGATTTATATGTGTTAAAATCATCTAAGCAACTTAAAGATGTATGTGTGGGTATGTATATGTATGTATTCATACTCCTTACCCATACATTAAAAATTAAGGTTGAGCAGGTTTGGGGTGGAGTCTTGGAATCTACATTTTTTAAAAGCTCCATGTAATACTCTTTGTAATACTTTAAGTAATAAAAAAAAAATAAAAGCTCCATATATGGTTATCTTGCTGCATAAGGGTTTTGATAACTACTGACTTTGTAGGAAACAAATTAAAATTCTGGAATGTAAACTCATGATGTCAGGGTCTTATTTTGTTTATTTTCTTAGTCCCTATTCCTTGAGATATAATTTACATGTAATAAAATGCATGATTTTAAGTATACAGTTTGATGAGCTTTAACAAATGTTTTTACAAACATGTAACAACAATCAAGATACAGGATTATTTCCATTATCCCAGAAAGTTCCTTCATATCCTTTTATAGTTTAAACCCTACTCCCCAGAGGCAACCAATATTCTGCTTTTTCTCTCTATAAAGTAGCTTGTCTATTCTAAAACTTCATTTAAATGGAAACATGCCAAATACTCTCTTGTTATAAGGGTTTATTTTGCTCAGCCTGTTCTGAGATTCACCCATGCTTCTGTAAGTATCAATAGGTCTTTTATTATTTCCAAGTCACATTTCACTGTTTGAACATAACAGATTTGTTTTTCTAGTTTCCTGTTAGTGGACATTTGAATTGTTTTCAATTTTTAATCATTATGAGTAAAGTTTCTATGTACATTCTTGTACAAGACTTTCACTGGACATTATTTTTTTAATTCTCACCTGAGGATATATTTTCCATTGATTTTTAGAGAGAATGGAAGGGAGGGAGGTGAGAAGTGGGGGAGAGAGAAACATCGCTGTGAGAGAGTTTGGCTGACACCCCCACTCCCCCACCCTATCCTCCCTCCACCGGGATCAAATCTACAACCCAGGTACGTGCTCTTGACCAGGAATTGAACTCAAGACCCTTTGGTCAGTGGGCTGACACTCCAACCACTAAGCTACACTGGCCAGGGCTGGACATTTTAAAGTAAATATCTTAGAAAAGAGTTGCTGGGTCATAGAGTAGATGTATATTTTTATATTTTTTTATTTTTTAATTTTAATTTTAATTTTAATTTTTACAGAGTGTAAGGAGAGGGATAGAGAGTTAGAAACATCAATGAGAGAAACATTGATCAGCTGCCTCCTGCACACTTCCCTACTGAGTATGTGCCCGCAAGCAAGGTACATGCCCTTGACCAGAATCGAACCTGGGACCCTTCAGTCCACAGGCCAACGCTCTATCCACAGAGCCAAACCAGTTAGGGCAGTAGATGTATATTTAGTTTTTAAAGAAACAACCAAATCATTTTCCAAAGCGATTTTACACTCCTAATAGCAATGTATGAGAGGTCTAGTTAGTCCATATCCTACTCACATTTGGTGTTGATAGTCTTTTCAGTTTCAGCCACTCTTGTGGGCAGAACCTAGCTTCACGTTTAGTCATACAATGTCCTACACTTAGTTTCCTACTCTATTATTGTCATTTTGAAATTTAAAATAATTTATGAACTAGATGTTCCCCCTTTTCATTTTGCATCAAGCTCTGCAAATTATATAGCTGGTCCTGCTCATGGGTATAGTAGTATCCCATTGTGGTTTTATTTTTCATTTGTTATAATAGTGTTGAACATTTTTTCATAAACTAGTTATTTGTACATTTCCTTTATAAAGTACTCAAGTATTTTGTCCTCTTTATTTTTTTTATTTTTATTTTTTAAAATATATTTTATTGATTTTTTACAGAGAGGAAGGGAGAGGGATAGAGAGGTAGAAACATTGATGAGAGAGAAACATCGATCAGCTGCCTCCTGCACACCCCCTACTGGGGATGTGCCCGCAGCCAAGGTACATGCCCTTGACCGGAATCAAACCTGGGACCCTTCAGTCTGCAGGCTGACGCTCTATCCACTGAGCCAAACCAGTTAGGGCTGTCCTCTTTATTTTTTATTGTGGTAAAATACCCATAACATAAAATTTACCATTTTAACCTTTTAAAAAAAACTATACAGTTCATTTACATTATTGTGCAACCAATCCCCAAGACTCTCTTTATCTCGTAAAAATGGAAATTCTATACCCACTAAACAGCTCCCCATTTCCTCCTCCTCATAGTCCCTGGCAACCGCCATTCTCTGACTTATAACTACTCTATTTACTTCATATAAGTAGAAAAATATAGTATTTGTCTTTTTGTGACAGCTTGTTCATTTCTGATAAAAAGGCAGAATTTTGATAGAGATTGCATTGAAATCAGGACACTATTGAGTGAAAAGACAACCCACAGAATGGAAGAAATATATGCAAATCATCCTATCTAATAAAAGAGAAACATGGTAATTAGCTGTACCTCCGCTACCCTTCCCATTGGCTAATCAGGGCGATATGCAAATTAACTGCCAGCCAAGATGGCGGCCGGCAGCCAGGCAGCTTGAAGCGAACATGAGGCTTGCTTGCTTCAGTGACGGAGGACTCCAACGTTCCCTGCCTGCCGCTGCCGGCCTCTGAGCTTGCAGTTTGAAACATTGTT